AAAATATAAATAATTAATTACATTCATTACTTGGTGAGAAACTTTACTATTGGCTGGTAGTGATTGTCGTTCATAATTTTGCAATAATTCTTGTCGTCTTGTGCTTTATATTTTTCTAATGCTAAGCTCTCTAAACTAAGCGCTTGTGCCTTTTCCAAATCAGCTTGGAATTGTTTTTCCAATTCAATCTCATTTTCAGTTGGACCTGACATCTTAAAAAAATAAAATATTTTAAATTACAAAATAAGAAAAATAACCTAAAATAATGAGATTAATATAAATCCTTGAAATTAAATGAAACTATAACTATACAAGCACATATTTTGTTTCAATAATACATATTTTGACAAAATATATAATCAGGTTATACATAAATTCATATTATATATTATTATGTTGATTATATTTATAAATTTGTCAGTGTTATTGTGCAAAAGTAATTGAGGTTATTCAACTCACATACCTTTATTTTGTTCGAAGTACTGTTTAATATTTAAATTCATTGCACTATTAAATAAATAACCTGCTATATTTACAAATTGCACGAATGTCATAGAATGATAGTGTATCTGATTCTGATCTGTCTATTTGTCTCGAATCCTTACAGCTACCTGTAATACCGCCATTTACATTTTCGCCTAAATTTTTTGCAATACTTGTTGCATGAAGTAGTTTCATGACGCATACAAAGAAGGAACTTAAAATTTAGAAAAAATATGAATTTTACGTTTTTTTAAAACGATTATAAACCAAATAATCAAATCTTATATAGGTAAACAAGAATTAATTAGAACTTAAAGTCAACACAACTGACATAGAAAACATAAATTAAAAAAAGAAAAATTTTGTGAACTCATTAAATTGGCAAAGTATAATATAAGTATAATATAATAGAACATAATATATTAGTATTTACCATAGATAAAAGAAAAGTATTTCCTGTGGTATTTCCTTTAATCATGGATGGAATAGCAACGTGAAGTTAGTTGTATCCAATAGAACAACATACAAAAATAACATTAATGTTTCTTAATTAATACCAACTGACAATGTGCAACACAAAACCGTTAATCGACCGTTAAATAAAAATATGGATTTGAAAAGGTTTGAATTGATATATTAGATTAATTAAATTAAAGAAGAGTATTTCCTAGAATCATAGATAAGAGAAAAGTATAATCATGGAAGGATTAGCAACGTGAAGTTAGATAAAACCAATAAAGCAACCAACAAAAAAATAATAAATACAATTTTCATTATTCAATACCAACTAACAATGTGCAATGCAAAACAGTTAATCTGCCATTAAATAAAATTATTAAATTGGAAAAGTTCAAATTCATATATATTAGATTATACTAATTATATATGGTGTTTCTTATTATTATATATAAAAGACTTCTTATCTATAATCATGGATAGAATAGCAACGTGAAGTTAAGTAAAACTAATAAAAAACATACAAAAAATAATAAATATAATTTTTCTTATTCATCATGAACTGACAATGTGCAATACAAAACAGTTTGAATTAATATATTAGATTAATCAAAATGAAGTAGAATATTTTCTATGGTATTTTCTGTCATTTTCCTATAATTATAGAATCATAGATAGAAGAAGGGTATAATCATGGATGGAATAGCAATGTGAAGTTAGGTTAAACTAATAAAACAAGATACAAAAATAATAAATATACTTTTTTATTGAAAAATATAGATTAAAACTAAACTAATTTATTAATTATAATTAAACTAATACAAAATATACAACAATAGTGTTTGAGAAAAAAAATTGAAAAAGATATTTGCAATTTACTATTTTTAATATTAAATATAGAATTAAAAATTAACCATGGTATAAGGACATAGTATGAAACTACACTAAATAATAAAAACTATACATTTAGATAAATATTGAATTATATATTTAATTTATGCAATGTAATTTAATTCAAAATTATACAATTTTATTATTAATTATGTAATAAAAAAATAAATGTTTTAACTGAATTTTAAGATTATAGCAAAGCGAACAGTTCTTGTTGCTTTTGGTAGATGATATAATGTATACGATTTAGAAAAAAGTCCACATTTATGAATTAACAAATAACATTATAAATTTAAAAAATTTGGTAATGAATACAGAAACATAAACTGAATTATACAAATTAATATATATATATATATATATATATATTTACCGTAAATTTACGAACACTACTGCTACTTTCTTAAGTAAATAAAGATAATGATTGACATTACGGGATTTACTCCAAACAAACGGAAGCAATTCAAGAATACAAAACTTAGTATTCATGTGAATAACGCGGAAACAACAAAATGTTAATTTCATTGTTATAAAATTTAATAAATTTACTTTTATTATGTAGTCATAATATATTAAAAAACACCATCAAGATGTCTTTAAAATATTTAATAGTTTTTAATTTGCTAACTATTTTTAAACAATGCCATTGTCAAGGTAGCATGTGGACATTCTCAGACAGAGTTGTGAATTATTTATTGACGATCGATTTAACTTTGTCTACATGTGATCTGGAGATAAATGAATATTTATTAGGTTTAAGTAATAAAGAAAAGTGGTCGGCAATGAGTGAGTTCATGTACAGAATAATAGAAATTAAAAAATATACATATTATAATTTTATTAAATTTTTTATCAAGTGATTGATTCCACGACCAAACTTCAAACTGGTTTATTTTCTGGAAATTTGATAGATTTTGGACAATATGATCAATGTTTGGCAATAAATCATCAATCTAAAACACAAGGTGTAATTAGAGGAAAGCATTGTATGGTTTATGCAATTACTCAAAATTTTGAGCAGACTGAGCATAGGTTATACACAGGGTAAGTTTTTTAAGAAATGTTTTCTTAATAAGTAACTTTTTAAAAAGTCATTCATGAAGTCATATCATTTGTTCTTGATTTTTTATCAAAAAATAAAATGGTAAAAATTGCACCTGTGCGCAAGATAAACATGTGAAAAATACGCCGTCACACAATGAATTGAAGATCATCATATCATCATCGTTATCATCTAACAAAATCTTTAAATAATTTGATTAATAAATAATAAGAGTGTTGCATATAGCACTAATATATTTTTTATCATATATGATAGTCAACAAATAATATATTAAACCTGCTCTTTATTTTTTCAGACTTTTTTCCTTTATCTTACCAATTTTCTGGATCTCTGTTTCTGCAGCTTTCATAATTTTTACTTATTAACATATTATTTATAAAACTAATCAATAATTAAATAAATCTGATGTATATGAATATATATACATTAGAACCCCGTTAAGACGATTATGCCTAACATGATTTTTAGCATAATACACCACTTCTGCAGAAGCGTCTGGTCTTGAGACGCCATTTTGGGAAAGTCCTGGTTTATTTTCTGGGTAGTTAGTTATTCAGTTTGTTATTGTTATTGAATGAAAAAATACTCTATAAAAATTATATATTATATTAGATAAGTTTGCCAATTGAAAACTTGATTAAAAATACCATATCCATACTATATCCATTTGCTAATTTGTTTAGTGGTGAACTCTAAGCTGGTAATTAACTCTTGTTTTCTCATTTTAATTTTATTCATTTTAATTATTTCATATGGACTATGTAATTATTTTATTTATTATGGTCATTTTTAGCATTGCAAGTGGACTTGGAGAAACAGAATTGGCTATAGGATTTGGTATTTGCTTACCATCTTCATGTAGTGGAAAACAAATCCGTGATCATTTGCAAAATGTTGTCCGACAAATGAACGCTACAATTGCCAATTATGATCCTGAAATTGTGTGCAATTCTTTGGAATCCATAGAATTAGACCATCTTGACGCATTTGTGATGTAAGAAATTATTTATG